TTTTTTTTGTATATAAACTATTGTTAGTTAATATTTCTTTTCATTATTGTTGTTAATACTATTTCTTTTGACATCTTATTCAATGTGAACGCACGTAGACATACATATATATACACGTCGTAACAATAAAGAATCAAATAACCCTATAGAACATGATAATAAAATATATCATTCATGTAATTTTTAAGCAACAAACACACTTGATTAATTCTTGTATACACACGTACACATTAATAAACTAATTTTCGAAACTCTATAGAGAAATGTTCATTATTTTCTTTTTTACACGTATATATATTGAAAGGAATATAAATAAAAAATCATCTTATTCTATTCATATTCATCTTTCAATCTAATATTTGATAAACATCAACTACCTTATGATAAAAATGCTATAAATTAACAAATGAAACTACTAAAATATTCAAGTTAAAATCATGAGTTTTTAATATATGATTAATGATAATTCTTTACAACTCAATTCATCATATATCCTTGGTTCATTCAGATAGTTTTTAAACTATTGTTCTTATCTTTTTCTATATAGTCACGAATGAAATAAGTAAAAAGAATGTATAGATATATAAATAATTCCAGGTATTTTTTTTCTTACATGAAAAATGAGATTCTATGAATATTATTAGTAATCTATGTTGTTAATATAAACTTTCGATATCTTACGTAAATTAACAAGCGGAAAAGCAAAAATGTCATTGTCAAACGTTCATTTTTAAGTAAGTATTTATCTTAATCGAATTGATTAAAAGAGAAATTATATATAAAAAAATCACATTCAATTATGTTTTGATAAAAACGAGATAAATAATATAGTAACAGACAACACCCGTTTAAAATTTTTAACTACGCAACTGTCAACATTATTTAGTTTAATAATAAATTTTTCTTCTTTTTTTATCTCTGATTATCTCTATAAAAAAAAAGAAAAAAAAATTTCTTTAGTAAAACTATCATAATATTATATTCATCATAGATATATATTATATGATAAAAAAATGCTTATGAAAACCCTCTGGGTTCTTGTATCTAATTTGATATTTATTGACACTTATAACATATTCAAATATTCATAAACCTTACCTCATTTGTTGATTGTGACTTTTACTCATATTGTTTTTCGATTTGTCACACAATGTTGAATTAGTTATTGATAGCCTAGAAACATGTATAGTATACAATAGATTGTATTGAACGTATAGATATGAGAATAACTATTCTTAAATAATGGTGGTAACTCACAAAATGATAGTTGATACTGAATGTAGATGATGGTGTTAGTCTCATTGAGATAACATATTTGAAAATCTTTGCCTAGCTTCTTTTATGAATGTCTTTTTTTCTCGCTCTCTCTCTCTCTCTCTGTCTCTAGTTTTCTCTACTAATATTAAGATAAAGAGAAAAAAAAACTAGTATTCCACTAGTCAAAAAAAACATATATACTAACTGTGACCGTTTATATGAATATGAGGAATGCCCTCCAGCTTATCTATCATAAAATGAAAGAAAAAGAAAACTAAGATTGACAAATGAAAGATTTATCAATAGAAGCAAAAAAAGACAAGAGAGAGAGAGAGAAAACTTTAGAAAACAGCTGCTCGTCAAATCATACTTATTCTGTCATTGTGTACGTTATTAATTGATTTTAATATAAAAATAATCTATCAAATTCCTTTTTGAATTATTATTCGTTTTAAATAAAAAAGTAATATTAATGCATGTCAAAAAGAAAATGATGCGTGCAGACTCCTCCGCAGTGTATATGAAAATATATACTAGGTATATCAAAACTAAGAAAAAAGAAAAATTAAAGCATAGAAGAAAAAGATGGAAATGTCAGAATAATCGTGTAAACAAAAAATGTATTTTCTATTCAACATGCAATTCTTCCTATTACCTTACCTGATGAAAAATCAGTCAGAATAGTCTATTTTTTAGTCATATATTTTATGTAATCATATAAACGACAGTATTGAGGCACTTGACTTAGAATATTACTTCCTTATTCTAATTAATTTTATGTTTTATATGAAATAAACAGAAGAAGAAGACGAAGAAGAAGGATGATCTGAATTTTTATATCAAGGCATGATTTTATTGTAAGATGAAACTTCTCTATATATTTGTGATGAGCTAGTAGTTTTCTTACTCTCTTTTTTTTATATAAGATGACATGATGAAAAAAAATGCATGTTAATAAATGCCAAAATCGATCAATGCAGTGACAATGCCTGTTATATATTATGAAATATTTTGTTCTAGTCAAGTTAGATATTCATCGAGGCATTTGATTGAACAGCTATATCGTATGGAAAAGAAAAATAGAGAATTATGCTTACGACGTTATATCGTCAAAGATTTATTTGAGACCTTGAATAGATCTTAATAGGATATAATAATCAAAATTGTCTACAGATAATACAGGATAATTATTTCATATTTATTAAATGTGAGATATGTGTGTGATTACAAAATGATTTTCCTTGATTATCCGAATGGGAAGGTCGTAGACCAATATAAAGTATCTAATAACGAAAAGAAAACGGAATTAATAATGATTATTCATACTGAAGATATTTCTGATAAACCTATATTATCTTTTATAATCATCTTTAACTTCCGTTATATACACATATATATATAAATATTACAAAAACTCATTTTTATTTAAAAAGGTTTTTTCTTTTTGCTTTTGACATGAACAGCTGTTAACAATACTTGTCTTAAAATTATTTCAACATAATTTTATAATTATAGACAAAAAAAATATATAATTCATCAGATGCATGTCTATATTTTATCTCATTGACAATAAATTGAAGACTAGATATATCAGTTGGTATTTATCAGAAATAATGAAAAAACAATCTTGATATTTGAACATATGACATTGAACACTTTTTTTTGTTCATATGGGGAATTTTGTGTTAGATTGTACACATTCGTCTTCGTTAAATGAAAGCTAATGCACAAACATTCATCTTCAATTTATAATCGATCAATCAAATAAAGAAATCTAATTCAAAAGAAAAATATTTCTTTCTTATCTAAATATTAGTTTAATTTCTTCAATTTTGATATTGTACGATGAAATATCTTATTTAAAACTCTCTCTTCATCCCTCAAAAAACGTTCTTAGACAACAGGGTTTTTCCGCGATAAAATGTTTTTCGTTTTTCTCAATTGCACATCGAAAAACTTCTCTGTCTAGACTCATTTCATAGATTGAAACATTTGTTTTTATTTGAAAGAGCATGACAAATTGCAGTACAGTATAGAGTCCTTGTTTTAATTAATTTTTTTTATATTTATTATATATACACACGCTAACGTTAATGGACACCTATTTTTTTGAGGGTTTTATGAGATATTTATCTTGTGATCCTTTTTTCCACTTAAAAAAATAAGAATTGAAAAAAAGAAATGGCTCTGTATCACACGGCAATTTGACATGCTATTGCAAACAAAGAAAAATCTATAGTACGAGCCTGAACAGAGTTTGCCAAATATCAGACCATTTGAATGATCTTAGGTGTGAAATTGATTTATTTTTTTGTTTCAAGAAATACATATGAAATCTTTATTCGTAAATTAGGATATAAAATCAATCAATGATCTTCTAATTTAATATTTTTTATTAATATAAAAGAAAAAATATACAAAAATACACGAATAATATTGTTCAACGATAATTCGAAGAACATAAAAACAGTTTTATTATTGTTTTTGTTGATACCAAAACGAATCTATTAAACATTAACGACAAATATGAGCCAGATAAAGGAAGAGTGTATACCCGGTGACTAAACATATATCAAAGTAACCGTCTATGCAATCTTCCTACTAAATATATAGAAAACTTCCGGCTCTGATAAAAAAAAATCGATGATAAATGAACATATCAAAGGAAGAGTGTTATACCCGGTGATTTATACAATATTCTAAATCAGTATAACCGGCTATACAATCTTCCTATGAAAGAACAATAATTAAAAATCATTTGATATTAACGAATTAATAAAATATATAATCGCTAAAGCTAAGTGTAGAACCCGGTGAGGAATGTTATCATATCCAACCTCAACCTTGATTCCACCTAGCTTAAGCAAAGTACAAAATGAAATTTAAAATAAAAAAAATAGTTCTTATTAATATAAAGTGAAAGTGCTCTCAATTAGGATGAGTGTGAGATCTAGTCATGAACTTGCAAAATCCACATAGACTAAATAACACAATCATGCAAATCAAAGAGCTCTTCTCAATAGAAAATAAAACCAAAAACCGTGCACAATACAAACATGCAGAGATCATATTCAAGAAAAGAACATAGAGAATGAGCTCACCATGCATTCGTACAAAAATATGTGGATTTTACTAGATTTTACTGACGTCATGATGAAAAAATGTAGACAAAGAAGGACGAATTTTGGCGGTAGTAGACGACAATAACCGTTAAGAACAACGATGCGAATGAACGAATGGACGGACTGGACCGACGCTTGACCCTTTGTGCTTTGTTTTGTATGTATACTCTGCGCGCGCGAGCGCACGCACATCATCGTTGTCGAAAAAAGAGAAAAAAAAAAACGTAGATTTGTGCGCGCGTCCGACCGTTGTTAGCTGCTGTCTAATATGAACGACATGTTCAGATATGTACATTTCTCTTTTCTCCCGTTTTTTGACCGAACATTGACCTGTTTCTCTTTCTTTCCTATGCGCTATTTTTGCTTAGGACTCGAAGGCTATATACTTATTCGAATACTTATGTGCGTACACACTCGTGAGTCTCTGCGATTTGTTCAGAACATCGTCCCGTTCAATCAACATCGATAGGTTTTTTTTTTTCTTTTTCTTTTCTGTCTGTCTTTCGCTAGACATATTGACCTTAGAGAGAGAGAGAGAGAGAGAGAGAAGAAGAAGAAGAGCGGGCAACTGAACAAAAGAAAATGGTTGGCTCTGATACGGTATGTATCAAACGTCTGAGTAACATACTTGTTTTGGCTAAAAGCCAAATGCATATATATACGATGGTGAGTCCACTCACCATTATCAATACAGAAGCCATTTGAGGTGAAATGAAAGCAAAACAAACGTCCATCGGGCGTCTGTTATGTTCGAGAGTGAAGCAATTGGCCCAATCTAACGATAAGAAATAACATACCCGAAGACTGACCGACGATAATAATAGGCTTCATGTATCTTTTATTCTTTCTCATTTGAATTATGTCCAAACGAATTTACTCCTCCGGCTAACTCCTCATAACGAACAATGACAAACGAAAACTATAATGAAAGATTAGTCGTGTTGTACTTGTTTGACGACAGCTTTATGTTATTTTTTTCGGTAGTTACATGAAGTTCTTATATTTTTTTTCCATAATACTTAACAAGACAGGCGAAATCACTTGGCACTAATCAATCACTTGTTATCTATATATTTTCTATGTCAACATAGAGTGCTTGAATCATTAATAGCGATGATTTGTTGCATCAGAGAGAAAAACAAATTTTTGTTGCATATATATTTATATATATATATATATAAAATTCAAGAGATTTTAATTATTGAAAATGAATTAAAAAAAAAAGCTTTTCAAGAAAAACAAATGCAATTCTAATTTGTTGCTGACATCATCGAGATATGATCCATAGCAGAAGCAAGTATATCCGAAACTAAATTGTTAGCTCGTTGTTGAAGTTTTTCAACAACAATTGGATTATCATCTTCGTTGTTTTGCTCGGAATCTTTATCTTCGTCAACATGATCTTTAGTTTCATGAGAATTGTTATGGTGTTGTTGATGATGATGATGATGATGATGTCGATCGCTATCCTGAGTAATTATTATTTCGTATTCATCTTGATTTTGTTTGTGTGTTGTTGCATTTATTGGATTGGGTTCATTTACCAAAGAAAATGAAATTTTATTGGCAACATAAGAGACACTACTTTGTTGAGCTGGTGATTGTTGTTGTTGATGTTGTGATTGTCGACGATGACGATTACTACGATGAGTTGATGAAGATGACATGGCTCGATCAACAGAACGTCGATCTTTAGAAAAATAAAATATATAGAAATTTATAATTTAAAATTATTTTCAATTCAAACTTCGTCTTCGTTCAGGCATTTGACTTCCAACATCAACATATCGTGCAGAGTCTAAATAACAACAGAAAAAAATAAATCGAAATTCTAATCTAATCTTATACCTTTAATTTCAGGTAATTTATGTCGTCTTCCATACATTGCTGGATTTGTATTTGTTTGTTGATTTGAATTTCGTTCATATCTATTTGCTAAAGCATCTAAATCTTCATGTTTTCTTTCATTACTTGTATCATGACTTGTATCATTTCGTACGACTTCACCAGTACTTGAACGTCGTTGAGCTTGAAGAATCTCTCGAAATTTTTTAAAATGTGATGCTTTTATTTCAACTTGGTCTGGATTATTTCGATTAATAAATGTTCCATATTTATGTAAAATTTTTGAATCAACTGTATCAAAACGATTATAACGAGCACCAGTTAAAAAATAATGACTATTATGACCATCTGATGTTTGAAAATCAAATTTTTTTATTGTACGATGTAATTTTTGTTGTTGTTGTTCAACACAACGTCTATAACGTTGTTTTTCAATATTTGTTAAATTTGGCTCATATACACGATTTAAATGTTCAAAATTTGGATTCATTTTAATATATCGATTCAATATACTATAGAAACAAATATTTACTCAAATAGAAATTTATTCATGCATAAAAAAGACCTACTCAGTTCGTCGTGGTAACCGAGAAAGTTCAGTTTCATAGAGATTATCATTTCGATGTTTTAATTCCGTATCAGATAGATATTGAAGAAGAGCATTTGTATGTTTTGGTTGTTTTTCTTCATGTTTATAATATGTTTCATAATTAAAATGTGGTGTAGGTGTTATTTTTTTTGGATGATCTTTTTTATCATTATATGTATAACCCGAATGATTCTAAACGAACATTTTTATTTTGAATAAATACATGTCTTTTGTCTTTTTTACATTGTTCTTTTTTTTTCTTACCTGATGTATAGTTGCCATATTTCAATTGTGTCTCAAATTACTTTTTTTTCTAAGATAAATAATGTATAAATTTGCCGATGGAATTCTCCATTTTTACAGACAGTAGTCTCGGTAACAGCCTCCTTTATTTCTATAGAAATATTTTTATTTTTTTTATAATCGTTTCTTCATCTCGTTTTTTTTGTATTTAATACCCAATCTGTTATAAAACAAACGCACACTTTAAACAACAAAGAAAAATAATAAGATAAATGAATAAATCAAAACGAAAAATAATAGACATATTTTTTTTTCAAATCAAACACTCTTGATTTAGCCTATGTGTTATAAAATTGGACGTCGTTGACATTGTTTTTTTTTGTTTAATGTCGACGTCGTTTACCACCATCAAGTAGATCACATCCATTCATTTCCTTAAAAATAAAACAAAAATATAAAATTGAATTTTGATTTTTTTTAAAAATAAATTACAAAACAACGTAATTTATTGGTATTATTATTATTATTAGAAATTGAATAAAATGCTGTTTCATCATCACTATCATCATCATCATGATCGTCGTCGTCGTCGTCATCATGTGGTATTCTCGTTGTAAAGAATAAATCAGGTTCACTATCAGATTCTTCTGATGAAGTCTTTAAGAAGAAATGGAATACACAAAATCAGATTATTTATTTTAAATACAAACTTCACTTCGTTGACGTTTAAATGAACCAAGTAAAGGAAATCGATTAAATGAACTAGAGACTATTTGAGATCTTTGATCCAGTGATTCACTATTAGCATTATTAATATTTGATGTTACATGATTAAGATTATTTTCTATTTCTAAAAAATATAATGAGTAAATTGAAATAAGAAGAAAAGTATTACCTGCATTTTCAATAATCGGTCGTAGTGGTGATGAATTTGTAACACGTTGTTGTTGAGCATCTTGTAATGCAAGAAGAATATTTCGTTCGTCAACATCGTCCTCATCTTCATCCTCATCCTCATCGGAGCTTGATGATGACGATGATGATGATG